AGAAGAAGAAGAAGAAGAAGAAGAAGAAGAAGAAGAAGAAGAAATTGTAAAAAGAATTAACCTGCATTTTTTTAAACAATAAGATTCTTTAAAGTTTCTCCATTTAAAACAATAAGAAGGTGAGAATCATTGAACAGTGTAACAAGTAGCATAAGTAGTGGGCTCCCTCCAGTTTAAAATCTGTTTGTTAAGTGTGACAGTATAAGAAATTTTTCATTCACATTTATAAACTTGCTGTATTCCTACTACATGCCAGCTATTTTATGTTCTTGTGGATATGTAGCTAAATGCCCTGCCATTTGGAATCCCCTGGTCTTCTAAGACAGGCAAATACATAAACATAAAATCTTAATGTTGTCAGAAATATAATGAGGGGTTCTATTTGGAGCACAGAAGTGAGGAGGGATGCGGGTGACATTTAGTCTTGTCTCTAACTCAGAGTTGAAGAGAAAGATGACTAATGTACTTGAAGGATGGGAACAGAGTTAGCAAGGTGGTCAAGGGTGAGAAGCATCCAGGCCTGGAGAAAGACATCTAGCATCGGCCAGCATTATTTGTTCTGAGCATTGCATGCTGTTAAGTACTGTTAAATAAAGAAAGTCAAATCAGAAAATAGGAAGAGATAAGGATCAAAACATTCTTGAAACTAGTTATTGGAGGGACACATGAGCTATGTGCAATAGCTTAAGAGCTCTACACCCTGAAGCTGCTAATGGAAGTTAGAATATGGAACAAAGCTCACTCTAAATGAAACAAAGTGTGACCTTAAAAGGGACTAGGCAAGAAGGAAAAGGTCATCTAGAAGGGTCTAGATGCAATAAAGCCAGCAATCTGAGGAGTTGCAGTACCCATGCACATGAGAGCTGTTAGATGAGAGAATGTTTAAGAGGTTAGCTGCAGGGAACAGGGGCAGAGTCAGATGAGTTAAGAGGCTGAGATGGTCCCATGGATTCCAGTATGCAAATACTTATGTTACTACACAGGATAAAGCAGGGATGGGGAAAGGCAATGAGATTGGGGCAAGTAGGATGCTGGGTGCCTGTGAAGTATCTAGATAGAATGGTCTGCTAGATGACGTTTGAAGGAGTCTATGGTTCTGAGTTTCTCCTGACGGCCACATTTTTTACTGTTCCAGAAGTATGTGACCCATTCTGAAGTTGGTTAGTTACCCAAGGAGGCACTAACCCAGACAATGTAAGCAGGAGTACCACACCCACTTCCGCATTAGGACTGTGCTTCCCAAAACAAAGGCTTTCTCACCTTTGATGGAAGCTGGACCCAGAGAGGCAGACAAGATGTTACTGTACTTAAAAACTTAATCAAGAAAATCTTTGCTTATTAAGTGCCTCCCAGGACTCCTGCTATGTGCTCCTTAAGTCCACTGAGCAAGTGGAACATTGCAGAGACTAAATCACTTGCGTGGCCAACCTTGGCATCACCCTCAGCGCCAGCACATCTGCAGCATGTGATGTGTCTGTTTCACTCTCTCATGACAGAGCTACTCCCAATGGGCGTGAGTTACTTAAACCACATCCACGATGAACTGAATCACCAAAATCTCATATTTCACTCCGCCTTGCTTCATGCCCGGCACTTCCCTGCTGCTCTACAGTTATATATATTTTTTTTTTTTTCTTGGCTGTCTTACTGACTTTAAAACACAATTTCTGAATATAGTCTCAATCTTTCTACATGGGCAAATCGGGTGAGCTCATTTTATCTGAAAATGGAGGGTGCCAAAGTATTTCCCCTTTCAGGACGGCTGTGAAAAGGAGAGGAGGCATGATCTTAAAGTGCCAGGCAAGTGGTAAGATAGCCAACAAAGACCGTTTCCCTTCCCAGCCATCATTACTTGACCCATGCATTCCTTACAGTTCACTTTGTCCTTCAGCTTTCTGCTTTTCTGTCCGTCTTCCTGTCCTTATTTACTTACTTACTCATTCACTTTTTGAGACAGAATCTCACTATTGTAGCACAGACTGGCCTTGAATGCAGGCTCTTGCTGTCTCAACCTCACAAGGGCTGGGAATATAGGTGTGTAGCACCATGTTCTGTGTGCTGTCATATTTTCTATAACACTGCCCTTCTGGTTTCTAGCTCAGCAAGTCTTCCCTGATTTCCTAGTCCCAGCACAGAGAAGGGTAGCAGCCATGTGGAGAAGCCTGGATTACAAAGCGTGCACAATTCTGATACATTTTCTTCATCTCTCTTTCGAAGTAAGTCTCTGCGGGCCATGCATCCCTTCTGATGTGCATCTGTAGCTGAGCAGCCATTACGTTGGTTCTTTTTTTTTTTAAGATTTATTTTATGTTTTTACTTCTGTGTATGTGTGTTGGTGTGGAAGTGTGCAGATACTCTCAGAAGCCAGAGGAAGCCATCAGATCTCCTGCGGCTAGAGTTAGAGGCATTGTGAGCCTGGCCATCTGTGCTCTGGGAACCGAACTCTGGCCCTCTGCAAGAGCAGTTTATGTGCTTTAAACAGCTGAACTCTCTCTCCAGCCCCTCGTGTTCTTGGTAAGCTTTCTCAAATCATGCTGATGTCTCTCTGTCAGTGGATGAGGTCCACAATCTTCCCATAACTCCCTTCTGCTCTTGTTGATCTCAAACTGTAAAAAAAAAAAAAAAAAAAAACAGCCCTTTGATTATTAGAGCATATGTTTTAGTACATATGTTTCTCACCCGATGTCGTAAGATGTCATCTCCTTAACAAGGGTTTGGAAGTTCCTTTCTGCATTCATTAATATTAAGCCTGGGGCTGTGGAAGCTCACCACAGAAATCAAATTCCATAGACTCATAACATCTTAGGTTTTCTAACTTGTTTGCTGTTTCTTGAACCATGCTTGAAATGAAAGGGGATATTTTTATGCTGTTTAATTAAAGCATTAAGAAACTGGCAGAGTCCCCAGGCAACACTCTTCTGTAAATTCCGAGTTCTGGGTTGCATCCTTGGTTATGATGCTTTCAGCATCAATTAACAAAAATTTGACAAGAGGTCGCTGAAATTTTTATCCCATATTTTAAAATCCCAGAGACAAGGCTCATGTATGATCAGTTCAGGTGGTCAAACGGTGGTCCTACGGACCCAGATGCTAATATGCCATCGCCTGCCTTCCAGCAACACACCTTTCATGGTTTTAGTAGGGCTTGACACCGTCTGCAAACAGATCTCTACTACTCAAGGCGCAGGGACTTCCCTCTTTGGTATTCTCTTTGCTTATTGAGGAAACTTTCCCAGGAGCACCCCAATTCCTGCTCATCAAGAATGCATCACCTGCCTGGAGTCACCCTTAGTTGACAAGGGGCATGAGAGTGGCACAGTGAAACTCGGATTTTCTTGATTAAGAACATCTAGGATTCATCCCCTAGGATTAGGCAGGAGCCTCTTCATAGTCACACATCTCGGTGCTGGCACCTGTATAAATGTGAGCTGCACCACTCATATTTAGATGGTCATATTGGTAACAGTTTTGGATGTAGCTGCTGCTAAGACACATAATCCCACAGCAAAATCCCTGATCCCTTGGCTCTTGTACTCTTTCTACCGGCTTTCCACAAAGTTCCATTAGCCTTACCTGTGGGAGTTGTTCTGCAGTTGTATCTATTGGGACTGAGCTCCACAACCCTGAATTTTGGTAGGTTGTGGTTTTCTGTAATGACTCCTGTTGCAAACTGAACTTTCCTTGATAAAGGGTGAGAACTGCACCCTACACAAAAGATTACAGGCAACTAAGGGCTGTTGAGAGAGGGAGAAATAGTCCTCCTCAAGGAAAAGCACACAACTTGGTTATCCCATACTGAATAGTCAGCCCTTAAAACATTCATACATGTAACATTATAAAGGCTGAGCAGGTTACATTTGGAGATACATATATGCACACAACACAATTAATGAAGAAAAGATCATGAATTTTAAGAAATCAAGGATTTGGAGGGAAGAATGGGAAGGAAAATGATTTAATAATAGAAGTAACAGAAAAGAAAAAACTCATGTTTTATCAACAAGACAAAGAAGGAGAATAATGGCTGTGGGTACTGTGGACATTTGTGTCATTTGTCAGTCCTAACAAAATGGTAAGTGCCATACTCTGCACATGGTGTAGACCAGGATTGAGATTATGGCACAAGGGTCACAAAATTCACTCTCAATTGCTGACCCTGAACTTATATAACTCAGGGAACAAGTACATGATTAAATTCGGTGCCTTAGCAAACTCATTGGCTTCACCCTGGCCATGGGCTTGACTGCAGATTTGATATTACCCCAATAAACATGCTTTGTTTCCTTCTAAGTTATGCCATAAATTGATTGATTCTATACTATCTCCCCTGACTCATAAAATCCAGTCATTAGCTTTTATTTCTTTATGGGAAGCTTTCTTTACTCTTCTATATTCAGTGTCTCTAGAGAACTATTCTATGGTTATTCTTCTTCCTCATGACAGATAGACAGACACATTTTAGAGTCAAAGCACCAGGTGGTCCACATGATACCCATGTCAGGTAGGATGTTTGAGGCAGCTTCCCTGGCATCACAGTAGGAGAACCTAATGCTGGATTTTGGATTTCTGTCAAGTGTATTCAGGGCATACTGGCATCCATGAGCTTCAGAGATGATATCACCTGAAATACTGGGCACAGAGGGACAAAAGGCACTACACTGGAAGCAGTTTACCTGCGATGCAGAAGGAAATGTCACGTGACACAGAGGTGTGAGATGACATCAGTTTGCTCCTCTGGAACCTGTGTATCCACTGTGGGGTTCTGCTGATTTGGGAATGTCTCTGTGAGACTTGCTCTAGTGTCACTTGAACAAGAGCTGAACTCTCCAGGATAGCTTTTCTATACAGAGTTCCAGGTCTTCCACTATCTAGGAGGTAAGCCCCGACTGACATGAGGCTCTCCAGATTACACAGAGACAAGTTGTGGAGTGCTTTTCATACCCATTTGTTCATGTTCCATTAGCCAAAGCATATCATGCAATTAAGCCAAACATCTTCAGGGATTCCATTCAGGATTCATTGCACTGGTCCTGTTTCTTTTAGACTTGTGCTGAGACAGTACATCCCAGCATCAATGGATAGAGAAACAAAATGATCACCTCATCATGAGCCAGGGAGCTCAGGGAGACAGGGAGCAGAATGGGTAGGTTACAACAATCTTCTTCAAGGACATGTCTCCAATAACCTAAAGATTTCCCACTGTGCCCCACCACTTAAATGCCCCATCATTTTCCAACAGTGCCACTCTGAGGAGCAATCCTTTAGAACATGGGCTTTGGGGACATTTAAGGCCTGAACACTGATAGTATCGATAGGACTCTAGAAATTGTTAGGATTGTCAAGAAAGGCTTTCCTGAGAGAAACCATTATGTAAGTAAAGACTGTGTCATTAGCACGGCCACTTCAAAATGATGTAGAAATTCTGTCACAGAAAATGCTGCCAATGTTCATGCAAATACTGAGACCCCAAGGTGATCCCAAAGCACATCCTAGCAGGCAAGCATGTTCTTGTCTCTCTGCCTAAAAAGAAGAAAGTCTCTAGTTATTTGAATCATGTGATTTACTGCCTTGAACTAATTCCTTGATCAAGAAGCAAGTTCCTGTCCCTTTCCCCTTCTCCAGGGGACCATGTGTGTCTCTCTTAGGGTCCTCCTTGTTTACTAGCTTCTCTGGAAGTGTGGATTGTAGGCTGGTAATCCTTTACTCTATGTCTAAAATCCACATATGAGTGAGTACATACCACATTTGTCTTTTTGTGATTGGGTTACCTCGCTCAGAATGGTTTTTTCTAGTTCCATTCATTTTCCTGCAAATTTCAAGATTCCATTGTTTTTTTGTTTTTTTTTTTTTTCTGCTGATAGCCTTCATCCAGCAGCTGGTGGAAGTAGAAGCAGACACCCACAACTAATCAGTGAACTGAATTGGAATCCAGTTGCAGAGAAGAATGAGTGATGGGCAAAGGGGTCCAGACCAGGCTGGTGAAACCCACAGAAACAGCTGACCTGAACAACGGTGAACTCTTGGTCCCCAGACTGATAGCTGGAATACCATCATGGGACTGATCCAGACCCCAGGAACATGGGTTTCAGTGAGGAGACCTTGGAAATCTATGGGACCTCCCATAGTTGTTCAGTACTTATCCCTAGTATAGGTGTGGACTCTGGGAGCCCAATCTACATACAGGGATACTCCCTGAGCCAAGATACAGGGGGGTAAGCCTAGGCCCTATCCCAAAGGATATGATAGACTCTGATGACCCCCCTATGGAAGGCCTCACCCTCCCTGGGGAGCAGAAAGGATATGTGATAGGTAGGGTATTAGTTTTAGGGGGAGTGATAGGGGAGGAAGTGGGAACTAGGATTGACATGTAAAGCAATCTTGTTTCTAATTCAAATAAAATAATATATGAGTCCTTAAAAAAAAAGCAAGTTCCTTATGTCTTAGCTTGCTATTTGACCTATAAAGAAGAGAGTAAAAATAATGGTAAATTCTGCTTGACATTTATATTTCTCATTGAAAAGTAATCCATTAGCATTCTGCTTTATGATAGTTAATACCGCTTCTCCACTTAATGAGAAGTAGCATCACCTAGATGCCAGGACTCTGGGCATGCCTGTGGGGGGTTATCTTTACTTTGTCAATTAAAGTAGGAAGAACTTCTTAGTGTGGGAGGCACCATTCCTGAGCTGGAAGCCTGGACTATATAAAAGGAAAAAGTGAATTGAGTGCTAGCATCCATTGCACTTGCTTCCTCCTGATCATAGATGGACTAGGACCAGCTCCTTTTATCTCCTGCTGTACTGATTTCCCCAGCATGACGGAGTACACCTTGAACTGTGAGCCAGAATCAATCCTTTCTTCCTTAAGTTGCTTTTGTCAGAGCATTTTATCACTGCAACAGGAAAATAAGTGAGACATTTATATGTGTCACTATTGTGTGAACCTTTAAAAGTATAAAAAGATTTTAAAATAATTCAAAGATATCTTCACATCATATTGTGACATTGAAAATTTAGAAAAAAAATGGTCTGTATGCATCATTATTTCACTAGATCATATTGTTTATAGGCTTAACAAAGACACATATATTGCCAAAGCATGAATTTCTCATAACTTTATAACTACATTTTAATGTACTTTTTCTTTGTAAACAATCACAGGAGAGAATATTTCACGTTCTGCCTTTAAATGTATTATTCTGAGATGAAATCTCCCTGCTCCTCCACGTTATGATGAGAAAAATGGCTTTAGAAAAGTTTGAAAGTTACCATGAACCAGTCTCCCTAGCCTAACAAAATGAAAAGAACCAATAAGTATTCTCGGACTTGCAAAGTCGAAAAACAAATCTTAACACAAGGAAAATCACCAAGTATGTGATGTTCTTCATGTAGTACTCTTTTCTTTAATTTAAATTCTTTAATTACTACTCATATTTACATATCCATCGCCCCATTCCCTTGCCCTCCCATCCTCCCATGTTCCCCACTAACCCCCCAACCCACATCCCAACTCTTCCCCAGGAATAGTGAGGCCCTACACCAGGGACCTTCAAAGTCTTTCATATCATTTGGGGGAGGGCCTAGGCCCTCCTTGCAGTATCTGAGCT